CGAGAGTCAGCTTTTCTCCAAAGAGTACAAAGTCCGCCACCAAGTATCGAAATTGAAAACCATGAGGAATACGAGGTGGAAAAGGTACTAGATTCACGGCATAATAGGAGAAAATTGGAGTATTTAGTGCATTGGAGTGGATACGACATCAATGAGCGAACGTGGGAGCGTGCCGAAAATCTTACCAATGCACCAAAAAAGGTACAAGAATTTCATCAATGATATCCTCATAAACCTAAGCCGATTCAACGATAGCTTCTTGCTGAAGCTTGCTCATCAAGTAGCATAAAAAGAAGGGAGGGCACTTCCAAAACCCATAGTTCGATAGTGTAGAACTTTGTTAGTAACTATAGTTTGCTCTCATCATTTTAGCCTTTGGACATGGATAGTCAAGATACTATACTTGTTATGTCATCTCAAGCGACTAGCTCACGAAGACGACCGCGAGATGAAGAACCGCCTGTACCGCGACGACGTCGGAGGATACCGAGCAACAGATCGCTAGTAATTGTATTTGAGGTCGAGCCTGCCTACGACGGTCAGCTAGAAGGTGTGTTTGGAGGACAGTTTCACAATGAAGACACAGAAGTCCACGTTTGGTCAGAGGTTGAAGGTGTTGGTCACTACCGTTGGCTCCAAGGGCCGATGAATCATTTGCCTCGCGAACAACAATTGGAATTCATAGCGGATGTGATGCGACAGATTTTCATTTTCTTGCGTTGGTATTGACTGATAACAACATTGTTTCTCGGAGACCTCGAAGTTAGAAGAGGAGGTGATGTCATTGACATACATTGGAAGATTCTTCAAATATTCTCTAAATATTCTCTAAAGATTCCTTTAGAAGGTTCTAGAAGATTCTTAGAATATTCCCTAAAGATTCTCTTAGAAGGTTCTAGAATATTCTTAGAAGGTTCTAAAATATTCTGATAGATTCTAGGAAGTTGCTCGAGAAGTTTCCTAATTAGTAGAAGTTGTTGGAGAAGCGTCCTAGTTAGCGGAAGTAGCTCGAGAAGCTTCCTATTCAGTAGTATATATATGAGTCGAGGCTGAAGGGTTCTTCAGTCTCGACAACACATCTCTTGGAGTTCTAGCTCACCTTTCTGGTGTTGTTCTTGTACTCATCTGTTTAATCTAGTTCTGCCACTTCTTCTTGAACTTCTTGTTAGATTTCAAGTCTGTATTTTGTGTCCGTGACAGCTATTGCCTTTTTATTCTTTAATCTTGTTTCAAGACTTTCTAGTCTTCTTGTCTTTCTTAATAGCTATTTTAGTTTAATATTATATCATCTTTGAGTGACATAAGAACTTATTGATTTTTTAGTTCTTTAAAATTTATATCATTTATAATTCATGTGACAAAAATACTTTTCAAATTTAGTTGTGAATTTGATCTATTTCCTTCTCTCAATTGTACAACTTCCTGGTATAGACTTTTAATTTTATTGTTGACTTTTTTCATAAGCATAGATATAGTACCTATATAGTTGATGTTTAAAATTTAAGAAATTTCCATTTTAAGAGTGTTAATAAGTTTGTGAAGATTTGTAATAGTTGCAAGTCTATTTTCACTTCTACTAAGTGTAGCATCTATAATTTTTTCTTCTATAAATGATCCAAAGAAATCTACAAGTGAAATTAAAAGAGAGTAATTAGCAATCCACAATAAAAAATGAAAATTTTGACAAAATAAGGTAGTACACTCTCTATAAAGAAAAAATTAGTGTTAGAAAACTGAAATATTAGTTTAAAGATAGATAGTCCGCAACTTTCAGTATACAATAATAGTAGGATAATTTACTCACTTCCAAAATAAAACAATAATAATGAATTAACACTCTTATCAAACTATTAAGAACATGAATCAAAAATAAATAAAACCTCAATATACTCTTATGTCACTTAAATAAAGTAGATATTTACTCAAAAATAATATAATATTGAAACAAAAATGACTATTGCTAAAGACAAGAAAACTAGAAAGCCTTAAAATAAGACTAGGTACTAAGAAGGTATTGACAAGACTGAGGAAGACTCGCTTGTATATCCATATATAATATCTAACTATAAGTTGCATGAGAATATTTTATAAGGACCTCCAACACATGTCCAACTTATCAAACATGTGTCAAACTTACAAGATAAGTTTTTTATGTGTGCCACTTTGTAAACTTCTAATATAAGTAGTTGACGTGTGCAAGACATGGCCAAATTATTGGCCATGTTTTTAACCTACCTATCACCTACAAACATGTATAATTAGACTATGTCTATAAAGCTCCTAAGAAGCTTCTTTATAAGATATAATAAAATCTAATTATTTCTACTTACTTCTATCTAATTCCTTTTATCTAGATAAATATGTATATTTGTGATACAAATATATTATATTGAACTAAAAATTAAATAAATTATTAAATTAAGAAAAACTTTAAATATTTTTATTTAATTTAGAAGATTTTTAGAAATTTATAATATTTTTTAAAAACACAACCAATAAATGCATATAATTCAAGATATTTTAATAATACTAAAATTAAGAGAACTTTCTCAAATTTGTTTAATTTATTAATTTGATGCACCAATATATATATATATATATAATGCTCCATGTAAAAAACTATGGATTACTAAAATAAAAAGATAGTTTTAAATATTGTGATAATATTTTCTTTATTTTTTTCTGAAATCCTTAACTTTTAGATGACTATAGTATGTTTATATAATTATGATATAACTTTTACAAATATTTTTTAAAGAAAAAATTAAAATTTACATCAACAATACTAAAGAATATATAAAGATAATAAAAAAATATAATTTTATTTTAGCATGATGGTAACTAAATAATAACTATGAATATTTATGTTAAGAGTGATAAAATCTATATAAGTATTGTTACTAGAATTTGATAAGTTAAAAGGCACAATTTTGAAATTAAATTTACAAATTGAAGATAATTGTAGAATTTCAAATTTTTAAACATGTTTTTTAGACCCTCAAAATTACAAATCAAAATTTTTAAATTTTTTTATATTTTTTGTTTCCATTTTTATTTTGGTGTAAATAAAATGTTTCAAACACAAGGATAAAGAAAGCTTTAAAATAATTAACAAGACTTTGTTCTCTTAGCTAGCCTTAAAAACATCTCAAGCTGGATAGATTCTTTAAATAAACATAAGAATGTAAAAATGGACAAAAGTTCCTTGCATTTTTGCATGCATAAACTCAATTTGTGACAACTGTGAGGAAATTTCAAGAGCACAAAGGAAAAAGGAGGAGCAATACAGACAAGAGAGTGAGGGTGGGTGTGATAAAGCCTGTTTCCCATCTCAACACGTGATGAAACCACCATCCAGGTTGACGTGCAACAGGCACCAGTAAAGCAAACAAACATTTAAGCAAGCAAGTAAGTAACCGCGAGGTTTGCCGCCCACTCATCGCCTAGGTCGCAATTCGTGTGAGCGTGTGAGTGGAGTGGAGTAGTAATTCCCCATCACACAAAAGATCGCGCTATCCACCGAGAATGCGTCTTGCACGAGATTGCCTTGCCAAGCAGGCAGAGAAGGAAAGGGAAAGGAAAAGGAAAGAGAGGAGACGGAGGAGGAGGACGCGTGAAGCAGCATCCACCCTTGGTTCAGAGCCATCATGGGAGTGTGCAACGGACGCAATCAGCATCGATGCATCCACTGCAGCACGATGAATGGCGACGATGATGGTGCGGGGGTTCGCGTCCCGACGGCGTGGAGCTGGCTGGTTGCAGCCTGCCACTGTGCGCCGGCCATTGTTGACCCTCTCCTTCACCACTCCTGCCTGCTGCTGCTGCTGTTTCGCTGGGAAAAAGAAAATTTCCCCAGGGTTGGATGGAATCTGCCTCGGTGTGAAACAGGACACCGCCTCCACTCGCCCGATGTGCGCGATGCGACGCCGGATGCGGGGTCGGGATTTAGAAGCAAGCTGCTGTGGTGGTCTGTTTTTTCTCAGCTACTTCGCGTCCACGTGCACAATAATGTGGTTCGCATTGAGAGGCGCGACGACGATCGGGAGTGCGATGGTGTGTCTCGAGCTGTACAACAACAACGACAACACCGTATGGGAGACGGAAGAAGCTACGGGCGGGAGGCGTAGAGGCACGGGAATAGGGGTGACGGCGTGGGGGAAAAGAACACGAGTGATTGATTCTCCTGCATTAGATGCTTCCGTTTCTATGGAGACTGCGCCAAATTCATCTCCCCCCCCCCGATTCTGTCATGCTCTGTTTCTATGCATGTTGCTGTGTGGGTCCCACGTTTACTCTCTCTCACTCGATTGGCTTGATTATCAGCTCACGTTGGCGCGATTCCGTTCGTCGGGACGATCGCTATTTTCGCCTGCCAGGGCCGCGGCCGACGGCACTGTGGCACTCGCAGGGGCCGGTCCGTGGGCAGAAGTGTTCATCACGCCGTGAATTGGGAGAATATTTAGTTGCATAGATGCTCCGTGCGTCTCAGGAACTGGGAAGTTGTTAGCTCTGGGGCCATAAGTGGATCAATCTCTCTCTCTCTCTCTCTCTCTCTCTCTCTCCTGGTGTGGAGTGTGGTTGAAGTGGAGTCGGGGGGACAGAGTTTTGGAGGTAGCGCCTCTGCGTGGCTCTTTTCCTGTGGATTTTAGGTGCTGGTAGCTGTTGGTGAGAGGCTTGGTTCCTGATATCTGGAGCAAGAGGGCGTTTAAAAGCTTCGGCAGGAGTTCGTGCTGCGTATGTTGTTATATTTTATTTGGAAGCCTCTGAGAAATATTCGCAAGGAAAGATTCCCTTTTCGTTCGAGGCTTGTTATATTTGTCGTTTTGAAGCTTGGACTTCGGGAATTTTCCATTTGTGACTCAAATTTGTACATGAGAAGCGCTCTGCATCTGTAGCGTGCTGCCTCGCAGTTTGTTCTGTGTATATACATATATAACATCTCCGAACGCTTTTTTTTTTTTTTTTTTTTTTTTTTTTAACTTTCACAGAGAAGAATTGCGTTTGAAAAATTAAATTTGTCGAAACTTCTGATCGCGGAGGTTATTGCACGGGCTCGGTTGATACGAGCTATAGTGTGAAATAACTTCTCCGTGTAGCAGCTCTTGTTCGCTGCTCCTTGTAGCTGTAAATATTTCTCAAATTCGGCGTAGCCATGGAGGTCCTTGCAAGTGCAGTGACCATGCGCAGTTCGGTACCATCATCTTCTTCCATTGATTACTTCCATAACGTACCTAGAAGGTCGCAGGCTGCACCGAGTAGAAGAACAAGCACGGGAGTGGGGAATTCTGCCCTCTCACGGCACCACGAAGGTTTGCGGGCATCGTCTGCGGTAGATATTTTGCGACCTCTGTCTTTGACCGAGGGTTTTGAAGTAGCTGTACATTCGCACCTGTCAATGGGAAGGAGTATTGAGCAGCAGAGTCGCGGAATTGTCACCGCGGTGTTTGAGAGGTTTACGGAGAGAGCGATCAAGTCAGTGATGTTGGCACAAAGAGAAGCCAAAGCTCTTGGTAAACGAGAAGTTGGAACGGAGCAGCTGTTGCTGGGATTGATTGCGGAAGATAGAGGGAGTGAAGGCTACCTCAGTTCAGGCGTTACGATCGATAGGGCCAGGGAAGCCGTAAAGGCTTTGTTGAATGAATCGGAGGGCAGCAATTTACTCGGGCCAGCAACGGATGTTCCATTCTCCCACGGAAGCAAGAGAGTGTTTGAAGCGGCACTTGAGCATTCGAAAAAGATGGGACACAATTACATTGCTCCAGAGCACATTGCGATTGCTCTATTGGCTGTGGACGATGGAGGTGCCAGCAAGGTCCTTGACAAGTAGGTGACATCTCCCCTAATTATGTTACAATGGCTTGTAAACAATATCATGGGACTGCAAATCGTGTGCTATAGTACCAGATCTTGGGCATGTGCAATTGCACATAAACACGAGATTCTGGCTTGTATCCAGATTTCTTTTAGTTGTGTAGGTGTATGAATTGGAAGAATATTCCTCTTTTACGTGGCAAGTGGCATGTTGCAGCTGGCGCTAGAATCTGTTGATCTTAAATTCTGGATTGTGGTCATCAGGTTGGGTGTGAAGAAGGGGAAATTACAGTCAGAGGCTGTAGCGAAGCTGCAGGGTGAGCTAGAGAAGGAGGGTCGTGCAGCATCGTCATCAGTTGCCATGCCACAAAAGGCAGCCGCTGGCGGCACCCCTTCGAAACGTGGTTCTTCCAGAAAAGGTCGGCTTCTTCTTTTTATGATATATATTTCATCTGCATGCTAGTCGACCTTTGCGCAGATTTAATGTGAGTAGTTCGATCGAAGTCACAAGGCTGCCCATAGGACTGAGTGTTGTACTTTGAAAGTGAATATTAGTGTGAGGTTCTTCCATCCAGGCTAACTATAAGCTTGCAGTATGTCGGCAGTTATTGTAGCTGCTCTGAGTGCTGGACGGTTGTGTGTGAATACCGAAACAATTTGGACAATTTTTAGGATTTTCATGTCGGTGACGTGATTTCGGTGGAATTGTCGTGCAGAAAAAAGTGCATTGAATGACTTCTGCGTTGACCTAACTGCAAAGGCCGCAGAAGGTAAGGTAGATCCAGTAATTGGCCGCGACCAAGAAGTGCAGCGAGTGGTACAAATTCTTGCCCGTCGAACGAAGAATAATCCAATTCTTCTAGGTGAACCTGGGGTCGGGAAGACTGCGATTGCCGAGGGTCTTGCAATGCGAATATGTAAAGGCGATGTTCCTGATTTCTTGATCGTAAGTTTCTCTAAAATCTATTTCTAGATGGCGCTGTCATGGTTAATGTACTTCGAACATTGGCGATGGGCTCAAAGTAATAGTGGAGTGCATCACCAGCTCTTTTGTTAAAAGTTAGGTTTTAGCCAGACGGCGTTTTCTGGCGGAACTTAGTAGACTATACCTCTGCATGTAAACGTGTCTCATTAGAGATCACTTGTAGGGAAAGCGGGTGATGTCACTGGATATGGGATTGCTCCTAGCTGGAGCCAAGGAACGCGGTGAAATGGAGACGCGGGTGACTAGTCTAATTGAAGAGACTCGGTCTGCAGGTGTGGTTCCGGACATCTGAGTATGTTCATGTTTGTTGAGGAGGGTCACTGATGTTGCAAATTTCGTGTGTGTGTTGGGAAGATGAGAAATGCATTGGACGAGTATCAGATACCTGCAATGTCGCTTGCGTGAATTTTTTTTCTGATAACAATGTGTCATTGTGCATGCAGGGAATGTAATCTTACTAATTGATGAAGTGCACACACTGGTGGGGTCTGGTTCGGTTGGAAGAGGAGGTAGCGCAGGGGCAGGTTTAGACATTGCCAACCTACTAAAGCCTGCTCTAGCGAGAGGGGAGCTTCAGGTGACCACCGTTTACCCGATTTTAGAAATGACTTATCTGTATGAGTAATCAGGTATTGACAAATGTTTGTAGATTTGGTGTTCTGAAGAACTGACTGATTTTCTTGTCTTTGTGGGAGTAGTGTATTGGAGCAACAACTCTGGACGAACATCGCAAGCACATTGAGAAAGACAAAGCCCTAGCACGTCGCTTCCAGCCAGTCATGGTTTTGGAGCCTTCACAGGTGTCGTTGTAACTATTGCTTCCACGCGAGGCCTCTCTAGAAGTTGTGAAGACTTAACTAGCTGCACGTGGAGAGTTTTCCAAATTGTGGAATCTGTTAGATTAGAGGTTTCTCTTAAACTGGGATCCTCTATTGCCCACCTCTCTGACATGTTTCAATGTTGATGTTGCAGGAGGACGCTGTGACCATATTGATGGGGTTGCGCAGTAGATATGAAGAACATCATAGGTGCCACATAACCAGCGAAGCAGTGGAGACTGCCGTGTACTTGGCTTCTCGGTATATTGCTGATCGGTTCTTGCCTGATAAGGCTATCGACCTTTTGGATGAAGCTGGAAGTCGAGCTCGAATTAACTCTTTTAGGAAGAGAAAGGAGCGACAAACTAGTATCTTGACTAAATCTCCAAGCGAATACTGGCGGGAGATTCGTGCTGTACAGGCTTCACAGGAATCGGTAAGTTCATTTTCATATAGGATTAATCCATGTGGATACTTTTCCAGATTAGGTTCTGTCTGGTTGAAAGATGTAAATGAGTATCTCTTGTTGGTGAATCTTATGTTTGGAGATTTTAAAATCTCGAGTTCAGTGAACGAAAACGTTGGGTTTAATGACGATTGTTGAAAACTGCACTCATCAACCGAGTTGTCATGCAATTATTCTTGCGATCATATGCAGATTTTAGTTTCGGTTTCAGGAAGTACGGATGCTCCTGGAGAGGACCTGTCAAGTCCATCAACAACGGAATCAATAGAAGCAGAATTGGGTAATGATGCGTTGTCTGTGCCAAATAATGACGTATTAGATGCGAGCATTGTCAGCGACGATGAGGAGTTTGCGGAAGGGTATGTTCTTACACTCAGCGATGCATGAATTTGATTACACCCAATCAATGCCGGAATGTAAAAATGATGGTGTTAACATGTGCATGGAAAGCGACGGAATGTGCGTTGAAATACGCGTTTGAATTATAGGAATCGTCAAATCTGCTAAAGTTTTGTAGATTTTAGTAGTTCATGTTTCGTAGTTATCTTGTTGTCACTTCAGTTTTAAAATCTCATGAAGGATTGTTTGTGATTGCAGACCTGTGGTGGTCGGACCAAGTGAAATCGCGGCAGTGGCATCCATGTGGTCTGGTATTCCGGTGGAACAGTTGACAAACGACGAACAAATCAAATTAATGAACTTAGAGAAACTTCTCCAGACTCGCGTTGTGGGTCAAGATGATGCGGTAAATGCAATCTCGCGGGCTGTGAGAAGGGCACGTGTGGGATTGAAGGATCCTAATCGGCCTATTGCTGCAATGCTTTTCTGTGGTCCAACAGGAGTTGGAAAGACGGAGCTCACGAAAGCTCTGGCCCAGCACTACTTTGGATCGGTGAGTATTTTGAAATGTTCGGCAAGCGCGTTGTATGTTTTTTAGTTAGGGCTAGTTGACGTGTGCTATCCATGAAGAAAGTTGGTTTGATCATGGGAGATTGGTTTAGTGGTGAAGGAAGTTATGAAATGTTGCGTGTGGCATTTTTGAAATTTTGTTATTTACATTAACTTTCAGATGATTAAATTGTCACCCATTCACACGAGATATGGTATTTTCTTTACCTTCGCGTTGTAAGTTCCCTTTCGAATTTATGAAACTTGCTGATTTTGCAGGAAGAATCCATGATTCGATTGGACATGAGTGAGTACATGGAGAGGCACACCGTGAGTAAGTTGGTTGGATCTCCTCCAGGTTATGTAGGATATGGTGAAGGTGGTATACTCACTGAAGCCGTGCGTCGGCGCCCATTCACAGTAATTCTTATGGACGAAATCGAGAAAGCTCATCCTGATGTTTTCAACATGCTACTACAAATATTTGAAGATGGCCATCTTACCGATTCTCAGGGGAGAAAGGTGTCCTTTAAGAATGTTTTGATTGTGATGACATCTAATATAGGTTCGCAACAAATCGCAAAGGGAGGTAGTAGCCGAATTGGGTTCACGTACCACAATCCCGATGAAGCAGACGGTGGCAAGTACTCGCAATTGAAGGAACTTGTCATGGATGAACTGAAAGGTTATTTCAGACCAGAGCTGCTGAACAGGTTGGACGAAGTGGTTGTGTTCAGGTCATTGGAGAAGTCGCAGGTACGAAATTGTTCCATGAGTAAAGTTGTTTTAACGCTCATACATGTCCGTTTAGTTTTGCAGAGTTGCTATGTGAAGTGTATCGGGGCTTAAATATTAGCATGCAACTGATTTGCTTCAATCTGAATTGGAAGAAAATTTTCTTACTGGTAAAAATCTGCGTACTGTCTGTTGGTTTGATAAATTCGGTTTGACAGTCTTCAGCTTGGCTTTGTTTGTAATATTCGTCTTGATTGTGATCACTAATTTGTCTTGGTTGCGAACCAGGTGCGTGCTATCGTGGACATTATGCTTGAGGAAACGAAGACGCGGTTGTCTGCCCGGGGACTGAATCTGGAAATTTCTGAAGCAATGGTGAAGCTCATATGTGACCAGGGATATGATAGAAGTTATGGTGCCAGGCCTTTGAGACGGGCAGTGATGAGTTTAGTTGAGGACAATCTCAGCGAAGCGTTACTGCAGGGCGAGTTCAAGGACGGGGACACTGCTCTAATAGATATTGATGAGACAGGGAATCCGAAGGTTCTCCGATACGAGAAACCCAATGTCTGTGATCATGGCCTGTGCTTGCCTGAGTTGAAGACGGTGTCTGTTTCATCGCCACCAAGCTGAAGTTGGACACGTCCATCACATTATAGTAGAGTTTCATTTCTCTGCAGTTAGAATTCATTGAAGGTGGTTCAGTGTCTCCATTAATTTGTTGGTCACGTGAAATGCATGCGGTACGACATCCAGCCAGCAGTTGTAGCTACTTCTGTCCTGTAAATGTGTGCCTTGGTTTTTTAACTACTTTAAAAGTGATCGTGTGATTGTATACTAGTATGTTAATAGAACCTTGGATTTGGTTGTCCTTAGGCATTGCATATACTTATGATATGTGACGATATTCATTCTTAGTGCTAACAACATTTTTCCCAATTGTGCCAAATGGGCATGCTTATTCATGGCATTCCAAGTTGTCACTCTATTCTCTTGCTCTGCTTGCACGTTAGCATGATTGCATTTGATTAGAGTGTGCAACCAGAGTGCATTTGATTTAATAAACACACTACATTTCAAAATTGCTGTAACTTTGGTTCTAAATACTATTTTACTTGAAATATACCTCCATGTACAAAAGTCTAGATTTCATAGAATGAAAATGTAAAAGAGTAAAAATCATCTGAAGAAATAATTAGAGAATCTTAAGCACAGACTTGAAACAAATCAAAGTTTCCTTGGCTTCTCTTAGGTAGAAATAATGAATTTCAAATGCAACATGAGATATTATTTGTTAAGGGTGTCAGGATGGAGAATTAATATACATATCTACCATTTGATAATCAAATTGAATGCAAGTCTATGTATACTATCATGGATGTAAAATCAATAATAATTAAATATGTTTTAAACAAAGTTATCAAATATTTTTCCTCTCAACTGTAATTTCTGATTTCATGCTCATAATTAAAGCTATGCCCTCTTTATTCTCTTTGTAAGATGCAAGTTTTCTTTTTATTATTATTTTTTTATTTTTTAACAAGCCTTACAGCATAAGGATTTGTAGTGATTCCATTTCATACTATTTAAAAAAACAATTCAAGATGTGAAAATATATAGTCAAAAAATGGGTCTAAGAAAAAACAAGCTATTTATTTTCTTGCTAATAGGGAACTTTATCAATTATTGAATCAATTTATTTTATGATATTTTTGCATGTACAAAACTTGATATCATAGATCACATGATGAACATGATATAAAACATTTGTATCCAACATAGTAAAAATGAGCCAGCTAAATCACATCATTCTACTTAAAAAGGTAGTCCAAAACTTTCATTAATCAAGATTATAGTAACACTTACAAATCAAACTTCATGTGAACTTTAGATTGAAATGGCTTGTGTGATGAAAATATTCACTAGAAATGAACAAATATATACTATACATAAATGTTATGACTACAAATAATCTAACAAAAGAAAAATGTCATTCAAGAAACTTATTTCAAAGAAATTGAGTTTCACACAATATGTGATGATGACATCGATTATTTATATAATTTAAATATTTTTTAAAAAAAACAAAACAATCATTTTTTGAGTTTAAATTATAGTTAGAGACAAAAATGTATACAATGGAAAAAATATAGTATTTAATTTATTTTTTAATTTAATAAATTATTCCATAAATTTTATCATGAAAATATAACATAAGCCATTCTATTCAAACTAAATTTGATGTCATAGTAATATAACAAAGTCATACCTTAAAACATCACTTTTCATATATATATATATATATATATACAAGCATATTCAATCAAACAATATGCACATTTTTCAATATGAATCATTTTGGAAGAGATCTATGGAAGTTGAATACTCAAAGTATTGGTATCTATAGAAAAAGTCACAAAAGAAAGGAAGGTAGAGATGAGAAGTAAAGGAAGCTAAAGAAAGTGGTAGAGTGTATTGGCAATACAACTTGCATCCCTCAAAAAACAATAATCTTTTTTTGCACTACTTTCATAATAATGCTTTTGTCTACAAATCACTTTCTACTTCTTTACAATGCTGCTTAGTCTCTCTATGACCTCCACATTAGAATCCATGTTGAATGATTATGATTTGTTCACATCAAACATACTACAATGTTATTTCTTCTTATACTTAGGATTATGATAAAATGCAATTATTGTATAATGAATCTAAGGTAATTCATGTATGCAAAATAATCTCATTAGGAATAGAAATGTACTTTAAAGAAATTTCATTGTTATATTGATAGAGAATTTTGTTTTAAATTTGTAAACAATCTACTATGGATAAATATTTGTGTGTATATATATATATATATATATATATATGCTAGTGAAAATCCGTGCCAATGGCCACAGAAAGCTAAAACAAAAGTTTAATTTGTAATTACTAAGTTAAAAATTGACTACTCCTAAAGTATTGTTGACCAATAAAAGAAAAAAAGAAGAAGGATATATGCATTATAATGGAAATAGTTCTTACTTTAATTAGAAAATATAATTTTTATTTATTACAACAACTTAAATAAATTAATTAAAAGAACTTTGAGATAAATTGCATTTACAATGATGTTTTTTTCTTCATTATTTTCAAGATATAGGATTTTTATCTTATTTAGAGAAGTTCATTGTGAAATAGATATATAGTAGAAACATCTATCATTGGGTACAAAAAAATGATCTTGTATTCTTATGCATTCTTGCATATATCCAAATTCCTATGAGTTCTTGTAAGTTTCCTAAGTTCCTATGGATTCTCATATGTTATTTTTGCATTCCATGAGTTCTCATTCGTTTCCAAATTTCAAAAGATTCTTATAAGTTTTTGAAGTTTCTATGAGCTTCTATATATTTTTGTGTATTTTTTTAAGTTCCAAATAATGCTTGTACATTTTGCATTTCTTCCATGCTTAAAAATATATATATTTGAAGTAGAAAAGAATCAATTCTAAATCCAAATTTCCTAGAGCTTATGTTACAATCAATTGACCAAGTTTAGGATACATAAAGATTTCCTAGCATTGTAAGATATATACTTTGAACAATTAATGATTTTTTCAATTTTAAAAATGACCAAAATTCCATTGCAATTGTCAACTAGGCCTTTATAAACAAAACATTGCACTTAAAAGAAATTTCCTATTTAAGCCAAATTTCTTTGCAAATAATACTCAACATTTTATTTGGTATTAATTTTGTATTATAGAAATAATAAACAAATAACAATTCTTATTTTTGCTATCTACTTGCTCATTGGAGTTGTCTTATTAATATATGTATTCCATATTCATGTCAGGTTGCACTTTACCATCTCAATTGAGATTGGTAGCAATTCATCAAGAATTATCATGATGTTGGAAATGTTCACAATCTTCTGGTACATCACAATCTATAAGGTAAATTTACATGGGTTTTGTAAGCTAGAGGAGATAGGCATTTGAATCCTTTATATGCACACAATATTGAACTTATTCAAGAGATCCTCAACTTAAAAACATATACAGTCAATAAGTCCTTAGCTTCAATACATATGATGTATCATATACCATAATTTGACAACATCAACGTATCATAGTAATATAAAATAATTATATCAAAACAAATTTTGTTCAAACCATGAAAACCATAACCATTTGTAATTTACCATAGCCTTAGATTTTAGAGTAATATAACCTTAGAAAGTTGGAGGTATCCTCTTCTTTGAACTAATTCTATTGCCCAAAAGGTGCTTCTTGTCATATTTGAATATGCACTAAGTTGCATATTTTATTAAGATGAAACAATTTTGCTTGTACTTATCTACATCTTAATTCTTTAAGACATCTACAAAAAAATTCTCCAAAGAATTATCTTTATATATCCAAAAGTCCATTGAATTCATCTACTAAAGAAGCATCACATATTTATAATTTTTCATCTCTAAGTAGAAAGTTTCTTGCCATGGCACATCTTACAAAACAAATAAGCACACTCAAGAGCAACACAAGATTATACAACATCATTGTAGCAGATGATTATACAACATCATTGTGGTTGTTTCATTGTTGAGAAGATTATCAATTTGCTATATCCTAAGAGAAACTCAATGAAATGCAACTTTGTTCTTTGATTGCTATGCACACCTAATATATATAACTGCTTGGCCAAATGTTAGGCAAAACTTGAGATAAAAGAAGAATAGTAGCTATATTGAACAAACTTAAGTGGCTTATTCATCCTAACTTTTTTTATTACTAATAAATATCTTTACAATATAAATCTTGTACACTAGCTCTTAAAGCATTTCTTGCCACAAGAGCAAGATATGACATTGGAGCTTAAGAATAAATTTTTGTAGGAGAAGATATTTAAATTATTTTTTGTGAGCATCTCAATAAAACAACAAGTTCAAGTTGCTGCTCTTAGTGCAAGTTTGAATCTAGTCACTATACTCACTAAAGCTTGTATATTCTAATTTTAAATAAGCTACTTGAATATTCATAGTTTTTAATTTGGAGAATAGATCATTATTGTGTGTACTTGATTTTTGTAGCATTCTCTTCTTGCAAGAATAGTTTGACTCTCTTAAAAATTTCTCTTACTTGCAAGTGCATCTCCATAATACCCTACTATATCAATCTACAACTACCTTCACTCCAAACCATGACCAACTTTCTTAAGACCCACAGTACACTACTTTCTACTTCCTAAACCTACAAAATTATACCTCTTGCAACATTGCATTACTATTGCTGCACCACACCTTGATTGTAGCACATATAGCCTTCTCCATGAAGAAAAGTTATAAAAACCCATTTCAGTTTGGAAGATGAAGAAGTAGTTATTGGATCCCAACAACTTGATTCTTAAATATACTTAGGCCCAAACCACTTTGTGTTCTCCAAGTTCTTAGAATTTCCTTCTAAATAACTAATGCATCTTTGACTCTTTATCATATATCCAAAGTGTTTAATATAATAGATACATATGTATTTATATGCAAATCCATCCTTTGAAAAATACAAAGGAATAAGGTGATAACAAATAGCAATAATTCTTGGAATATAATCAAGTTAGTAATCTTTTAACCCCAAAGTAGTTTAACAACTTTCTGAAAAGAACAGATTGAGTTTTCTTTTGGATAAATGTTTCAACGTTTGACGAATTGCTGCACAGATAAGTGAGATTCCCTCGTCCTCCTACAAACTGGGAATTCAGGAGAAAGAATAGGACGAAACAGTAAACAAGGAGAGGACTGAGAACTACTCACTCACTCGGACTGGCTGACTGATCATGCTGCAGTGACTGACTAGGTGGACCTCACCCGTTCCCGCATTCATTCATTCATCCTTGGCTCATTTACCCTTCCTTCCGCCCACATCCGCATGTTTCATCGATATATTCCAAAAGACAAAAGAAGGGAGGGAGATGGGGCCAACTTCCAAGCGCACCCGAAGCAGCAAGCAAAAAGAACAGACAGGGAGGGAGAGCCAGGGCACTGGATGAAGACGAGCGAAGAGGGAGGAGAGAGGAAAGAGAGAGGAGAGCGACAGCACAATCGAAAGGAACGAAGAAAGAAAGAAAGAAGAGAGAGAAGAGAGAGCCCCCCGTAGCGGGGGAGGGGGTTCTGTTCCATTCTGTTCCATGTTCCGACGGGTACTCGCGTCAGCAGCAGCGCAACCCAGCAGCACTACACCACACAGACACACACACACGCACACTGCAACGAAGAAAGGAAGGAAGGAAGGCGGACGCGATTTCGCAGCGCCTCTGGACGTTTCTCCTCGCCGGAAGGGGACTGCCTGACTACTCACTCACTCTTTTTGTCTGGGCATTTGCCTTGGACTGACTCTTTAACCCACCCCCAGGTTGGCCCGGCACCTTCTTCCCTCCCGCCTCACCAAAACACCCCCCCCCCCCCCCCCATCTCGTCTTCTTTTGGCTAGGTATTGCCCTCTCTCCCTCTCTACATTCCTCTCGCCCCTGCCACTGCTGCTGTTGGTGGGTTCTCGTGTCCCATCTTCCCCCGGTTGTTTCCCGGTCACGCTGTGCCTCAATGTGGCGCCTTTGATCATCTTCGCTGTAATTGCTTGCGTTGGGTCGGTGTGTAGGTGTTTGGCGGGATGGACAAGGGAAAGAGGGCCAAAGTGGAGGAGGAGGAGGGCTCCGAACTGGACGCCGAGTTGGTTCAGGCCATCGAGAAGTTGCAAGAAGTGCAGGACGAGCTTGAACGGGTGGGTGTGGATGTGTGTGTGTTTTCTTTCTTGCTTGCCTCCTCTGTTGTTGTTGTTGTTGTTGCTGCTGCTCTTGTTTATTATTTATTTTTTAGTGTTTTTTAATTTTTAATTTTTTTCCTCACTCCATTTCGTCCCCCACCACCAAGCAACATATCTTTTATGAGGTCGCTTCGGGGGATAGGAGTGGAGGATGGTGGTAGCGGTGGGGATTGGAGGTGCATGGCTGCACGAGGTGTTATTTGTGGCTACCTTCCGGGATGTCGCTTTTCGGTCAACTTGGGCACGGGGTGGGGTTTGGGGTTTAAGGGTACCGACGGGTTCGAAGTGGTGGAGCGCAACGGCTAGGGTAGGTTTTGGTGTGGGCGACGGAGAGGGAGGTTGGGATTGTCGTTGTTCGAAAAGTGCGGGTTTGTTCCGGTCGTTACAGGAGTTCGATGTCGGCGTAGGTTTGGCGGTGAGGTCTAGGCGCAGCTGTGGGTCGGGTGCACGGGGGCGTTGCAAAAGGGAGGTTTTTCGGGGGAATTTGTGGGCTGCGCACGAAGTTGTGTTGTCGCGACAGCGTAGTGCAGTATTGGGTGTGTGGTGGGGGTGGATGGACAAGCGTGCATGGAGGTGGCGATGGTGTGGGGCGTGAGATGGACGCGGAGGAATGGAAAGCTGGGATGGCAGGGCGTGTGATGTAGTCTCCCCCGACCGCAGTGCAGCAGGTAGTGTGTGAGGTAGCTGACGGTGCAGCGATTGGGGTTGGCAGGTGAACGAGGAGGCGAGCGACAAAGTGCTGGAGGTGGAGCAGTTTTACAACGAAATCCGACGCCCAGTGTACAGCAAGCGGAATGCCATCATCCACAACATTCCGGACTTCTGGTTGACTGCCGTACGGTCCCACTTCGCGCGCTTGTCCCCTGTTGTTGAAGGTTTTGGTAGTTCGTGCAGTATGGACATATGCGAATGGGTTGGTGGATTGGGCACGGATGGCATGGGCGGGGGTAATGGGGTGGGTATGAAGGGTTGATAGTGTTTGTGGCGTGCAGTTTCTGAGCCACCCAGTGCTGTGCGACCTCTTGACGGAGGACGATCAGAAGGTAAGGCTGGCACGCTCACTCTTGTGTACGCCTTGTTTGTGGGCGCTTTTTCAGTTGGGAGCATGAGTGTGCATTGGATGGGGCTGTGAATGGAACGGGGCGAGTGTGTGATTTTGGAAGCAAGGCGATGGAGTTCCGAGGGCTGATGGTGGGGTGTGTGCGTGCATGGCAGGTGTTCAAATACCTGGAATCGCTGGACGTGGAGGACTTCAAGGATGTGAAATCGGGCTACAGCATCAGCTTTGTGAGTGTCTTACCGAGATGACGAGAGCTTGTGCTGAGGACATGGTGGCGTTGAGATGGGGGTGTTGGGCATGGGTAGCTGTCGGTGAAGCGGGCGTCGGGGGGGGGGGACGTTATTGACTGGATGTGGATGGGTGCGGTGCAGAATTTTCGAACAAATCCTTACTTCGAGGATACGAAGTTGACGAAGGAGTTCAGGTTTTCGGATGACGGTTCGACGTCCGTGTCGGGCACCCAGCCGAAGTGGAAGGATGGAATGGTGAGGGTTAGGGGGTGCGAACGAGCGAGTTGTGTGGTGGTGGAGCGGATGATGTAGGGCGTGGTAGCAGAAGAGGGATGGTTGGTGGACGTGAGGCACAGCATAGGTGGCGGTGAGCGGGTGGGGTGGAAAGAAGTAGGTGTGTGGTTGTGGGTGGTGTGGCGTACTGAAGCGGTGTGTTTGTGGCAGAATCTGACGAACGGCGTGGTAGCTGAGAAAGAAGGGAACAAGAGGGGTCATCAAACGGAGGACAGGTATGAGCTCGAAGCATTGGGTGTTGTGGGTTGGCGTATGCCGATGGGTTGGTATTGTGGGTGTCGGCGGTCGTGAAA